CATTTCAGTTTTTTAAGTTATCTTGTTACAAAGCCTCACCTTTATTATTTGCATAACATACTTCAACATAATTGAAAATATTAACTAACCACACAGAAAAAATTGAATTTGTCATGATAAACTGATAAAAATGCAAATTTTAAGCACTAAAGTACATTGTCATCTATTATAATAACATTTATGAGTGACTGGTCTTGGCCAATTTTGAAATGTCATAAGCAAAATTTACTTTGAGTACTACTCACCATAATCCTGAGTCCATGCTGTTGCCATTTGTGAATTCTTGAACAATTGTACATTTTCTGCCTACCTAAAAATACTCTGGTTGCATTGTTAGGATAAGACTGGAATTTGGAAAATGTTCACAATCAACAGCAGTCTAAGCCATGCTTCTTTGATCAGCAGTTACATTGGCTTAGTAATGTCATCCCCTGACAAAGTGACTTCCATAGTATTTTTCTCTGATTAATTGGAGTTAGGTGAAAGAGTTGTTAGTGGTCAGTACAAGAAATATAGAGACCATATTAGGGCCATCCTAAATACCTATAATATCTTACCTAGCCTTAGAAAAGTTGGCTGGCAGTCAGACTGCATGGACATTGTTCAGACCACAGAAGCAAGGTTGGTCCAGCAGGAAGAGGAATTTTGTTGATGTTACATGTAGAATCCTTTTTCTGCTTTTATCCAATATCTTTTTGTATACCTTACTTACAAAAAATATGCCTTTCCTGTGTTGGTCTAATTAGCCATGCAAGAACACATCTACCACAAGGGAACTCTGATGACTTTGTCTGAATGACAGTCTACAATGATGATAACGGCTGCTCACCTTAATGCTGTGGTTAACAAGCTATTCTTGCACTTAATTTTCCTTGTTTGATGAGTTCAATCCTCACAGCATACTCTGTGATACTGAAAACTAACCAGACACATCCATAGAGACAAAAAAAAGAGATCTCTCTGGCTGTAGAAAGAGATAAGAGAAGAAAAGCATTCTCTGACTTGTCTGATGTCAAGGCTTTTTGCACCTCTTAATGACACATAATGAGGAAGTTTAGAGAATTTAAATCACATGAATATAGAAACAAGAGAGGCAGGAGGAAATAGTGAGTTAGTTACTTAGCAAGTTTGCAAAAAATGTTGGCAGAGTGGGAACTAAGAAGCTTAGTAAAGGGGTTAGATGTTTCTTAGAGCTAAAAAGCATAGGAAGCTATGGAGAGTCATGATCACCAATGTCCTGAAGGGGAGCAGCACATGAAAGAAGAATAAGTAGTGAGAGGGAATAAATGCAGTCTTTCAACTCTGGTACTGTGGCCTTGTGATAGACTAAGTTAAGCTTAGTAAGAAAAAAAAAAGACAATTCTAACAAACCAATTCATTAGCATGGTGAGTTCAATCATTGTTAGATAACCTGGCTCAAGGGATAGGCTAATCTTACACAATAACCACTGTCATTATAGCTTAAAGCAAATATTAAATATAACTTGTTTTTATTAATTACTTTAATTTCTATCTTATGAGACATCAATATTTTATATGCTAAATTGTCTAAGAGTATCATCTTTTCTATTTCATGATCTGGTAGAACATTTACATACCATGTTGGGTCTTTCATTGAATAACAGTGTCAAGTATTTAGTGCTTTCATATATTTAACCCATTACCTGCCATGAGCCCCATTCGGGTATCTGCTAAAATTAAACTCACTACATGTTATTCCTTGTATTTACATTGAATTGCTTACATACATTGCATTTACAGAGGTATATTTTACAACTCTTAGCCTTTAAATTTTTCATTATTAGCCGTAAGAAGACACTTTCTGTCATAATTTTACATTTCACAAGTAGAAAATAATGACTATTTTGAAAAGAATTTTTTATTATTTCTAATCAATATTATTTTTTGATGTTTTATATACATATATATTTGATGTTCTAGTTTCTATAAAAATGACAATGGTAACTACCGAAACTAAACATAAGGAATAAATAAACTCCTAAGACACCTGTCTGGGCCAAAAATTTGGCAGTTAATGGGTTAAATCTGGACAGAATTATAAACTCATATAAAAAAATAACCTAAATTTGCTTTTCCTGATTTTTCTGCTCAATTCAATTTCACCATTATCTAAACCTGAAAATAACCATTTTCTCAGAACAGGCAAGATTTTGCTTACAACATCTTGAATGTTTATCCACTGAACCCCATCATTGATTAACTGTGAACAAGAATTAAAATTTCCAGTACACTACTTTTGTATGCCATCTTCCTTCAGGATCATGGCTTTCTACAACTTCCTATCCTTTATTGCTCTTGACAATACTAATCTTTTTTTACCATCACTCCCTATTAGTGATCCAATATACTGCAGATATAAAAACTTAGTTAATAGGAAATTTTAAATAAAAATATAATTAACTGTTTATGTTACTGCATGTAGAATAGATCAGTTTTATTGTTGGGTATGTGATGCTTGTGAGCAAGATAATATTATAAATAAATTATAATTTTTTTTTTTTAATATAAAATTAAAATATGTAATATTATCAAACTAAATGCGGCATTTGTTTTTTCAGAAATACCATATAACGATCTACTTTAATAAGCTAAACTGGATTTTATATTAAATATAAAGATGGATCAACAAGTCCATAGCGTGACTGATAGTTATGACCTGAATTTTTATTTGAAATTTTCACTGTATAATGCTTATTCTATGGGATTAATATTCCTCATTAAATTGTACATTAAGAAAGAGATTATATTTAAAAAAATAAGTATTTATATGTTTTTTCATCATTAGGCTTTGAAATGATTGATATCCGTCTGTACTTTATCAGTAACTAAGTATTAACCACTATCAGTATATAGAATTCCACATTTGCTTTGTTTAACTAAGTACACTGTAGTTCAATATCTCTGAATTTATCATTATCACAAGTCCCGTGACCCATTATGGTCATAGGCACATCACATGTACTGCAGCTGCAGTAGTTTTTCTTGGGTAAGATAGCCCAACCATCTCCAGGCTGGTTTGAATTCAGTTTTCCTTCTCCTAGACTAGCTGCCAACCAAGGCTTTAGGACCCACTATGTCCTGCTATTTACCCATAGCTGAAGGGAGAAGAGATGGAGTCATAACTTACCTAACAATAGTAGCACATAAGTGAATGCAACAAACTCGACTGAAATTCAAACATGGCTCTCCAATTCCTCAATCCAAGCCTTTATTCAATACTCCATCGTCCATCCTATAGAGACTATAAATTCATATACGGTGGTTATTTTAGTGTTTGGGGCCCAGTTATCCAATATATCTATCATCACAACTATACATTAATTTAGTCAAACTAATTTCTCATCTTAGTTGTTATAGTCACACAGACAAGCACTATTTATAAATTTCAAACTTTCTCCTATCTAATATTGTTTTATGGTACAATGTCCAAATAAATAAAAGTATCTACTTAGTATTTATGAGTTCAATCCATCAGTCAGGCAGTGAAAGTTATTAGTTTCTTGAAAAAAACAAAAATACCAAAGCAGAATCAGATAACCAATACAAGAGATCTTCAAGCAAGACAATTGAATGAAGACAGTTTATTTCTATGAATTGAATAATGGAAACAGTTTCAGACTCTTGAAAACTTCTAGAGAGTCTAATGGCCAAAACATTGTGACTATAACAAGCAAGCTGAGGACATGAGTTTGAATATAATGCTTGTAATTTCTTATCAGAATACTCAAACAGAGGATATATAATTACACTTTTAAATAAACTTGAAATTTTACAAAAAAAATACTACTATTAGATTATCATGTTTTTAAATGTTACTCATACAACTTCTATGAAATAGTTTTATAGTATTTCATTTCTAACCTAAAATAATTTTTTTTTAAAGATCTGACTTAATATATATCATTATTAACTACTTTTTAAAAATATAACCATAACTATATTGAGATTATGGCAAACTTAAATATAATGTAAAGACATTTTTCCATTTACACTGCTATTATTTTAACTACCTTCACTCCTCAGCAATGTTTGTTCTTTTAAAAAGTAATGATTATAATTGTAATCTAACCTAAACATATGAAAGTGAATTTATACATTTTTTTTGTTCTTGAGAATTAACAACAAAAATAATAAACACTATTTATTAGATTATTTATTGGAATGGTTGGCAAAACATTGGCTAATCGCTAATTGATTCAAACTTTATAAAATGGTAAATAATAATGATTTCCTTATAGTTGGTTCACATTTTAATAATTTAGTAAATGTTTATAAATTAATGGATAAATAACTGTTTTCATATTTATTTACTTTTAAATTGGTAAATGATAAATATTGCATTGTATTAGTTTAGTTTTTAAAATGTTGTAAATATAAAATTATTCTTGTAAATAAACAACCTAATAATTAGTGTTTAATATTTTCTTGCAAGTTCTCAAGAACAAAAAAAATGTGGAAATTCACTTTCATCATATGTTTAACTTTCATTACAATTCTAAATATCTTTTTTTAAAACAATAAACATTAAGAAGTGAAGGTAATTAAAATGATAGCAGTGTCAATGGAAAAATTGTCCTTTTGACATCCTGTTATTTTGCAGGGACAATGGTCCAAGTTTGCCAAGTTCTTTTATAATATTTCAAATCTAACTTAAAATATAAATGATTTTTTTTAAGTTCTGAGTTATATGTATATATTATAAGTATTAACTACTTTTTTAAAATATAACCATAACTATATTGATATTATGTAATAATAAAAATTACAATTGTAATAAATTGTTTTACTATCATTTTTATTTGATCAAACTAAATATTATATTGTCCCTAAACACCTTTTAAATTATGAAAATTGACTTAGTTTGATAGTAACTGCACTGTCTATTTACCTCATATATGTCAAGTAATTTGTTTTCTACTAGAGAGTTAAAAAAAATGTCAGAGGGTCTGTACTGAAAGTTGTGTTTTTGTTGAATTCAGGTGCTGAGCTGACAGAACTTTCTGAAAATCTAAGCTATGACAGAGAAGTGGTCAGAGTTTGGTTCTGCAACAAGAGACAGGCACTTAAAAACACTATCAAGCTAATTAGGATATTTTGATTTCTTTGTTTGTTCGCAAACTATTAAGATTATGCCAAGACCTTGCTTTGTGATATACAATAATTATATAAGAAGAAAAAAAAACAAAAGGATACAAGCAAACAAACAAAAAAGATATCAGTTCCAATGGACTAACTACAACTATAGATGCAAAGAGTCATCTTTTCCTTCTTCAGAGAATGTCACTTTGTTTTAAAGTGAAATGCATGCATTCATTTTTTTTTTTGTTTTCTTTTTTGTTTATAGTTTTCTCAATTCTAAGAAGAAAAGAAAAAAAGAAAAATAAACTCTAACAACCAGAGAAAACAAAAACTGTCAGAGAGTCTAAAAATACTCTTTAAAAGACAACCAATTAAAATTATGCATACCAGTCTATCTTTCTTTTTTCATATCTACCTTTCTACCTACAAGTGTAGGTTTAAAAAAAAAAAAAATTATTAAAAAAAAAATAAAGAAAAGATTTGGGGTGTGGTGGAATTTTTCCTCTCTAATCACTTCAAAGAAATTTCCAACTTCCTCTTTTGCTTTCTCTTACTATTTCTCTCTTTCTCTCTCTGAAAAGCTTCTCAACAAGTTGTGCCTGTTCTACAAAAGTTTGTACTGAAAGTTGTGTTTTTGTTGAATTCAGGTGCTGAGATGACAGAACTGTCAGAAAATCTTAACTATGACAGAGAAGTGATCCGAGTGTGGTTTTGCAACAAGAGACAAGCACTTAAAAACACTATCAAGAAACTAAAACAGGAAACTGCTTAAAATGACACCTTGCTGGCAATTTTATTGCAAATTCTTGTTAGACAAGAAATGGCAGCAGCTGACAATGAAGATGATAAGAAGAACAATAATAAAATAAAGCATTGGCTACAAATAATGTGATGGGTTAAAAAAAGAAGAGAACAAGTTAAAAAAAAATAACGGAAAAAAAAAGACAATAAAGAAAGAAAAAGCCAGCGATCACCAAAAAAGAAGGAATATACAAACCTAGCAACAGCTCCAAGAACTCAAGGAATTACATAAAACATGAATAAAGAAATTGTTACTAACATTTCCATTTCAGGAATCAAGCTCCAGGAGAAGAAATAAGAAGGGAGAAAAAAAAAAAGGTACTAAACAATTACTAGGAGGGGGTTGGGCTGCTAAAAATATAAAATAAAAGTGATTCAAAAAATAAATCACTGAAATAGAGAAGCAAATTTTATCAGAAAAAAAAAAAAAAAAGATAACGCAAATTTTTATGCTGGAGAATTGGTCTGATGTATTTATTAAAACAAAGAATTTGTTCAAGTCCTCTGCTCATCCATAAAAAAAAAAAAAACAACAACAAAAATATATCTAAAGGTGGCATTTCCAGTAAAAGTTATGGCTCTAACCCCATTACAGAAATCCGTTACCTCATTTGCAGAAAATTATGGAAACATTGTGGCTTTTATTTTGTGGGACTTTACTGGCAAAGACCTCATGGTTTGTCGTCTTCTGTTATGTTCCCATGGTGACAATCTGTTAACACACTTTGGTTTTTCTCCTCCTCTATTTTATTTATTTTTTTATTTGTCTGTATGTCTGCATTGTGTGGTATATATCTCTCATTGTGTATGCTGTGCATGATTGACTATGAGTGAGTGTAGAAGAATTAATGTGTGTATACGTAGGTCTCTTATGAGTGGCAACTGGTACTTTTCTTTCTTCCTTCCCCATCATTGGTCATCAAGGGATGAGAAGGCAATACCTAGTGCCAGTTGTTACTACCACTATCACCACTACCAACTTTATCCCTATCACCACATTAATCACCCAACTACCACCAATAAGAATAAATCATTTTACTATCTTTCTGTTGGATGTTAGCATTGTCATGTGACTTAATCAAAGAGAGAAAGAAAATGTATTTATTACAACTAATTGTAAATGAACTACAAAAGTTGAATAAATAGTCAGTATTGTTTCTGTACATTTTTTTTCATTAGGCTCTCACTTCAGATAATTTCGGTGATATAAAGAACAAATTATTAGATACTTTCCTTTTTTAAAGTTAAAGAAGAAAACTATATATATATATATTGAATGTGACAGTCAAGAAAGATATAATTTTTTATTCATTTTTGCTAATGTTCTTACATTGTTTTTCTTTTATGAGGGCTCAATGATTGTAGAATCTGTCTGCAGTGATTGTCACAAACACTTTTGACCAATTCATTAGCCATTTTCAAGGGGGTTCATTGTTGGTATAGTTTTTAAAATATACTAATGAATTGGCCAAAAACACTTAGGACCATAATCACTATGAACAGTTTCTACACTCATTTAGTCAGCATAAAAGAAAATCTGAAAAAACATTAGAAAATTGAATATGAAACTTATCAAATTTTCCTTGTCCATCACATTCAGGGAAACGTGTCAAATAGATTGCTGCTTTTATATATATATATATATATATAGGGTGAGGCAAAAGTTGCGCATCATAGGGATAATTTATTAAAAGTACAATTACACATGAAAATTTTATTTACTAATTATTTAATTGTTCTATGTGTTGTTCAAAATGTCCTCCTTCTTTTTCAAAACACATTTCAATTCTGTGCCTGCATGATTCATTAACAAGTCAGAGAGTTTTCCTCTGTCATTTTACTGCATTCATATTTAATTCTTTCTTTAATTTCCTCAATATTTCTTGGGTGCTTATGATAAACGGCTGATTTCAAATGGCCCCACAGAAAACAATCCAAGAGTGTGAGGTCTGGCAACCTTGGTGACCAATCAACAGGACCCCTCAACCTATCCATTAACCCATATCATGGTGCGTGACTTTTGCTTTACTCTGTATATATGAATATACAAAAGGAAAACTTATTTTAGCCAAAGTGTTTCATCTTCTGAAGGACAAAATACATTGGCTAAGTTTTTGTTTTGTCTTTATTCATATTGTCCTTTTACAGATATATTCTATCTGAAATTTTTACATATATATTATGAGTATGGTGTGTGTGGGGAGAGAGAATGTGACCATCTTTTTTTATTACTTGGGTTAGTTTCAAAAAGCCTTTTAGATTGAAAATTCCTTTTTTTTAACTGACTCTTTATGTAATGTTGCCATATATCAATCTTGTGCCAGAGTTTCATTAGTTAATGTTCTCTAATTAAGAAACAAAATGAAAAAAGATTAAAAAAAAAAAAAAAAAAAAAAAGAACTTATTCTATTTTCTCTTTCACACACTTTTCTTTCCATTTGACCATTCCGCTCAGTTCATTTTTTTTTTTCAATTTATTCAAATTATTTCTTGAGTTTTTCTTAAAATTTTCAAATATAGTAAATTTAATTTCTTTGGGTGGTTTTGTTTTTTTAGGAGGTGAGAGTACTTAAAAAACATCAACTCAAACCTGAAGGAATTTTAGCATGCATTTTTTTAAAAATAAATCTAACATTTTATTTTTTATCATCAAAGAAAGTTAAATTTATTATCCACTTAGAATTTTTTTTTTCCATTTTATATATAAACTATATTTGCTACATTTTATTATAAATAAAATCAGTTATCATGTGTGTGTATGGATTAGGTGTGTGAATTGCATAAAATGTGATGAATTCTGAATTCCTTATAAAAGACATTTTTATAACTTTCTTGAAATCATCAGAGAGATTATCAACATTAAAGAATTTTTTGTAAAGATTCCACTAATTCTGTAAATATTTCTAAAACTTTTTAGACCTTTTTTATATAGTCTTAACATTTTATAATATTAATTTTTGAGCTCACATAGTTTAGCAGATATATATATATAGGATTTTTTTAATGACTTAAGAGTATTTCTTTTTAGTTTTCAAGTTTCTCTTTCTTTTTTTTTCTTTTTACTTCCACTAATTATTACTACTAACAAATTTCATTCTCCATTCTTTGACCCTTTTCAAGAGGGTTGGTCAAATCTGGTGTTTGTTTATAATCAAATTTCATCATACCAATAGCCCATATAGGGATAAAAGTTATCAAATCAACCCATGTCAGATGTCGATTTCCATATCGCAGTGATGTGCTTTGAAATTAATATTTGGTAATTATTTTATTTTTTTCATTATGATCAAACTTTACTGGATTTAGTTTCTATGGAAACCAGAAAATTCAGATATTACCTTAGAGCCTGAGCATAATCATACAAAATATGAAGTATTGAGGTGTTAAATTATATAGCTAGCTTATAAATTGAAATTAAATTTGAGTTACCTTTAATTTAGTTTCGAAAGAGTTAAACAATTACATAACTACAACTTGACATTGTTAGCATTATTATTACTATTCAAATTTCTCTTTTCTCTTCATTTTTTTTTCTTTTTCTGCTTCTTATTCTCTTCCTTATTCTTTTTTCTTTTTCTTTATTTTTTTCTGTTTTCTATTGTTCGCTTTTCTCTTTTTTTCTCTCGTACTGTTATTTGCTTTTTCTTCTTTTTTCCTTGTATTCTTCTGCTGCTTCTATTACTCTCTTCCTTATTTTTATTCCCATTTCTTCTTTCTTTTCTTAGCTATTATCACCACCATCATCATCATCATCATCATCATTATTTCTTTTTAATTCTTTTTCTTTCTTCTTCTCTTCTTTTTCTCCTCTTTCATTATCATCATATTATTTGCAGTAGAATTGGTTAAATTACTTTGGAAAATATTTTATTAGTATTATTTTTGTAATGGATTTATTGATAAATTTCTTTAATTTTGGAACTGCATTGGCTATATTTTCTCTGTGAGTGATCAAAGATTTTATTTGGACAATTAACTCTGCTGTTGCATATAAGAAATAATTTTAATTATTAAATAATTAAAAGTAAAAATATCTAAAGAAAGCAATCACAAAACAAAAGAAACAAAAAGCAATATATGAACAACTGATCTACCCAACTTACTAATGAGATATTCCTTTTTTTTATGGCAATATGAGACATTCTTGCTTATTGGCATCAAGCAACACCTTTTATTACCATAACAGAATACCTCATTAGTAAATAGGGGAGATCAGGC